TGCTTACATTTTAGGTGTTGTGCACACAATCATCATTTTGTTTTCAAATTCGTGCAATTCTACTACTTTTTTTGCCTTCCACGATCACGCGAGATTGCTTTTCTTTTGTGGAAGGAATAGAATTATGAATTATATTGAATTATAAATTAAATAAAATAGTTTTTTTTTTGCGTTCTCATTAATTACTAAAAATCAAGGGACTGAAAAGAATTCACCATCTTATATAATATTTCTGTAAAACCCGTTTTATTTGTATTCAAGCTTCATTAATATTTTATTTGTAATAAATATTTGGCCTACTTTTAATTTGTTTTATATATATTCAACATAATGATGTCGATCTTTTTGTTGATTTTTTTCGACGTGTTTTAAATGTTTGCCAAATAACGAATTGTTTGCGAATGTTCGTGAAATTATGAAGAAATTTCACGGAAGCTTTCGCTGTGGTCACGTTTCCCATTTGATAAAGTCCCATTTGCAGTCTCAACTTGAAATAAATGTATTCAAATAGCTTCGAGTGCCATGTTATAGGAAAATAATATTTCGGTAAATAAAGAGAGAGAGGTAGTTTATTATTGGAACTGCTGTGCATTTTCGTTTCGGCGCGAACAACAAACTGTTCCGCAATACAAGTATGTACATATCTCCATCTAATCAAGGCGGTTTTATCTTTGAATGATTGTAGTCATCACAACTCATTATTCAGATTTAATCAGTCGGAGTTGTGAAGTGCGAAAAACAAATTATGTTACGATTAGATAAGCACAAGTTTCGTCATAATATCTAGAGAATGTCATAAAGAGCAATAAAAAAACTATCAATTACCACCTCGCTTATGTAATTTAGATTAGAACGTGGCGGACACACCCAACCAAGTCCGAGAGTACTCGTCTAGCTTAATAGAAGACAGTTGCATATGAACTTGTGCATTATTCTATAGCAGGGGATTACGTCAGTGTCACGTAGCTGGCTTTAATTAATGCATTCAAATGCGTTCAATGATCAACAATTCAAGACCAGTTTACGAACAAGTCAATCCAGATTCATGCACTTTTAAAACCCACCATCAAGTCAATTACTTGGATAAAGGTTCTACAAAAGTTGCTCCATAAAAGCAATATTCTCTGTAATCTAAGTCAAAAAGTCATAAATTTCTCAGAATGATGGATACTTTTTCTTCAGACATTATCGCAATTTCTGGTTACAAAGTGATTTCGGAAGCGTTTACACAGTGTTGAACAATTTAAGTGAACGCTTCAATATGTATGTAAAGAAATTAGGAAAACTTTAAAGAAACACAAAAGTTTATTCAGCTTTTCCAAGTATATGGACAATAAATGCCAATCCATATTAGAATTCAGAAGAGCCTTTTAAAATATATTTTAACAGTGGTCCTGCATGCTCATTTAGCTACTCCTCCCAAGTTTTGCAGTGATATAAAAAATTTATATCATGTTTGTGCAAATCCAATATCCCGCCATAGTTATGGGTGCAAAACTAATGTTTTATCAGAAAGTATTTCTTCTTTTCAATTTGTATTTGCTCATCCATGGTTAGCATCCACGAACCATAAAGGAGGCTAAAACATCCGGTATAGTAACAACATTCTCAGTGTAGAAAGATATTCCAATATATTTATACACAAAACCGTTCTTCAAAAACCGTCTACATCATAACAGATTCCACACAAACCATCCTCTATTCTACAACCTGCACTCCCAAAACACACTTTTCAGTAAAGCTTATAAAACCGAAGGTTTAAGGTGGATAACGGTGGGGTTCTTAAAAAATTGTAAACAATCTAAGCTTGGTGAGTCCAACTATTTTCGCACTAAGACCAATAACAAGAGACGTCAATAGTTGGATACATGAGAAAAGATTTTATTTTTAAATATTCGAAATCTAAATAATAGATCGTTCTGTAAGAACCCTGATTATAATATCAAATTGTCAAACTTTTGGTCTACTCCTAAAACTTATATAAATAGTATTCAAGGATGAAATCTCGTATGTGTGTTTTTTATTTTTGTTTTAATTAGAAAGCCATTTATTGTGTTTTTATACTCTGTACATGAAATGTACAAGAGTATATTAGGTTTTCGCGAGCTGAAAAATGTAACAGGCAGAAGGAGGCGTGGTAGACCCCACAAAGTATATATATTCTTGATCAGCATGATAAGACGAGTCGATTTAGCCCTGTCTGTCTGTCCGTCTGTCCGTCTGCCCGTCCGTCCGTCCGTCCGTCCGTATGCTCACCTAGATCTCAGAGACTATAAAAGCTAGAGACACCAAATTTTGCACGAAGATGCCTTATGTGTGTACGCTATACGAGTTTGTTTTATTTTTTTGATTTTCCCCCCACTTCCCCCCTATGGGGGTTTTCCCGATTTTCCATTCGTATAATCGCCTATATCTCGGAGACTATAAGACCTAGGCACACCAAATTTTAGTCCAAGATGCCTTGTGTGAATACGCAGAAAATGTATATTTTGGAATTCCCCTCCCACCCCCCCTCTCCACCGCAAATGCGATTTTCTCTAACTCCCGTAATTCTTGGAATTTCGAACTAAAATTTTGCAAATATCCCCCAGTTAGTAATTATGTGTCCGTATGCCAAGTTTCACTATGATAGACCGATTAACCAAGAAGTTATAGCCATAAATATATTTGCTGATGCAGCGCTGCTCAAGCGCTGCCCGCGGCTGTTGTTGATGTTGCTGATTGGTTGACTGCGAAAATGCTTACACAGGCACGAATAGATGCGCATAGGCATACATACACTCACACAAAACTGAGTTCGAATACCGAGAGAGGTAAAATCGATCCAATTTTTTTTTCTTTTTTTTTTTTATTTTCTATAATTATTGTAAACATATGTACAGAGTATTTCAAAGTCGGGACACCCAACTTTAGCTTTTTTACTTGTTTATTTTTGTTTTAATTAGAAAGCCATTTATTGTGTTTTTTTTTTATATAGTATTACACACTTCGATAAATCAGATCAAAATTGCTGGCCCCATACATCCCAGAGCACTCAAAAACGAAATATACTTAAAGATATTCAGTACAAAATGGATTGAAATCAAGCCCAATCGGTTCTTCACGTTTTTGGCACTTATTTGAGGCCCTTGCGGACTAAAAGCGCAGACTATCGATGACTGGAAGTCTAAAATCCACTAGCATATGAGTATTCAAATTCCATTGAAATATAAATAGGGCACTTGAATGTACGGCTAGGTAAGGTAAGGCGCTCCCTATTCTAGCGTACTTTTATCGCTAGATTTGTAATAGAAATCACAGTCATAAGTCGCACATTTCGCACTTTGGAGAAACATTCGGTGTGTTTCAATAATAATACAAACAAAGCCCGATTGGCTAAAGGTTAGATAAGATAAATAATGTAGTAGAGCCCCTATTAATTGTATAAACATTTCATCACTGTCATGGCCGTTGGCAACCCATATTGTTGTTTTGTAACTTGGTGTCATTGGATATGCAAATCGGGCTGGAAAGCCATTAATATTTAATAACTACGTTCTGTATGTTACGTAAAATGTTGAACTATCGAACTCTGTCTTTTTTTGTCATCACAGACTAAGTAGTGATATCGGTTTGGATATAGGTAAGGCAATATCATGCTAATGCTTCCCCTATCTGGTAAATAGACGCATTACAATACCTCCACCTTTCCACCATTCATAGTTTGATAATCCTCCGACGCATTTAAAGCTTCATTTTTGATTAACAAATAATAGCCATTTATGAAACGAATAACATCTTGTTTTCATATATAAATTTGCTGCAAAAAATAAAATATTCGAGTATATTACTTTAAAATTAAATGCATAACAGTTTGAATGGCATTGAATAATAAAGGGTAAGATGTGGCTCTGCTGTCTCTGGTTCTAGAAGAGGGACACATGAGGAAGGTACTCGAGAACTGACATGTGACGAACTGGTTCTTTAAAAAATTGAACGATGACTGACCCCCTCTGCTGCTCACTTCTTTCAAAGTTATATTTGTTATATCTGAACATCTATACCTACTACTAGATGTAAGTAAATGAATTCAGAAATATTCGAAAGAAATAGAATTAAACCGCTATTTCCAGTTTACGTAATATAGGTATTGTTTAACCTATGTATGGGAACATCAGCACAAAGCTTGAAAAATTGTATTTATCGAATTTTAAAATCGAAAACAGCAAACTCATGACACAAAATATATTCATATTTGTATTGTAATTGATATTTAATAATACAAGCAGGCCTCTAATATCGTAGTTTTCGAGTTTCACAATTTTCTATCTATAGAAGTTATAATATGTGCATATACTATATAGTTACATATACACAAGTATGTATACATACATATGTAGTTCAAATCAGTAGTTTGAATAATTTCTTTTAGAAAATATAATATCCAACAGTAAATAAATATGTCGTTGTAAGCTGCGGTTAATTCGAATGGTTATTTTTCATTTTACTTGAAATTTATCAATTTATATACTTGTAGATCTCCAGTTCGAGTATGAGTCGCAGTACACTATACAAGTAGAACAAAAATTACTGACAAAGCTTCTTAAGACCTCATTATATTATGATTATTCATACGATCTTATCGTAATTGATCGAGCCAAATGCGAGGTTTGGTTATAGAATATAGAATAGAAAAAACGTTTTCGAACCTAATCAACCTATTACTTCCTATGTCATGATGTGGTTATACAGTGTATTATAACTCGCTCGTCCAATAACAGTTCGTAGTTGCCATCATCTGACAATATTTAAGCTGTATTTTATTTATGAATTTTATTTCGGAATATATGTACATACTATATATATTACCTTTAATCGTGTGTTTTTTTATTAAATGTGATAACCTATCTGTGATATGCGATTATAAAACTATTGAAGTGACTCTCGCTTTAGAAAGATATACATACATATGTACAAGTATATACGACTGTTCATGAATAGTAACTAAAAGGTTTTCTTACGTAAAATGCCACACAAAGTCCCAATAGTTGAGCGTAAAGATTTTTATTATTACTGCCACTTGTTGATGTAGATCCGGCTTCTCCTTCTACATATGTACATATGTATGAAGGTGTGACATACATACATATGTATATACACACAAATGTTGGGGAATATGTTTTTAGATATATGTATGCATGTGCAATAGCAACCGACTTCTTTTATGATTCACGCACTGAGGAGTTATGTATATATTATGTGTGCACATACATACATACATATATATACATATATATGGCACGCACAACCACTGCCGCGGAGATACTTTCACAGTTTGCGGATCAATTTATGCTCCTATGTATGTACATATCTCTGAGCAATATATCGACACCACATTAATTGAGGCGTCTGACAGAAAGCGCAAAATAAGCACGAATTAATACAAATATAAAAAAAAACAGTTCAATATTTTCTTAGGGTTACACACAATCCCACACATAGACACAAAGCCGACCGTAAGAGATACACGCGGTTGTTAAATTTACTGGACACCAGAGAGGCTTTCTTAAGAACAGTTTTCTGAATAGAGCACAGAGGAGCGCAGCCGCCACCGGCTAGAGCACATTCGTAACTGAAACTGCTGAATTGGCGCCACCAACGGCACGCTGGCAAACGGAATGGAAGCGTCAAAAGACAAAAGAGCCGGAGAGCGAGAGCGAGAGCAAGAGCGAAGGCACGGAGCAGTTGTACATACATATGTGTTATATTAAAAACTTACGGACTTTAATTAGCAAAACCCATATGGAATCGGGGTTTTTCACTGATTTAATTAATCAAAACACCAGTACATAAAATATTGGTTATAGTAGCTGTGCGCGAAATGCTTTAATAAAAGCTTTCACACAGACACAGCATTTTGCAATTGAGAGAGATGGGGACGGAGAGAGAGCAAGCATTAAGTTTTTTTTTTGAATATGCAGAAAGCACATACAGAGTTGGCAATGATCGAGCGGCTGAGTGTCACAGTGATTCCAATTGGACCTTTTCTAATCAAAAAATGGTCCGTCCGTCTGTACTCAGGAACACTTTTTTTGTAGAAATCAAAATATTTTAAAAGTACTTACTGATAAGACTTGAACGAAAAATAAATAACAAGTAGTAAAGTGTCGAAACAAAAAGATTCAAGCGCGGTATGTTACTGGGATCGAATTTTACAATGGTTTATAATTTGAGCTCAATTGGTGCAGAGCTTATCATGTTTTTTTCATCAGGAACGAACGAATATTACATTATTATTTATATGAATAGACAAGGGCGTAGGCAGCTTTTACCAAAGATTAAATAATGCACGATGCATTTAACTTATGCATATGATCATGAGCAAAACTTCAACAAATCCAACTTAAATCCATTTTAAGGCGAAATAGTGCATCATAATAATGAACGTGTGGTCGACTTTATCTGGCATAATTTTTTCTAGGGGGCAACGGCCCCCCCTCCCCTTCACCCTTGTGAATAGATAAAAGCGAGATTATTTGATTAGAGCCATAAAATAATTCATAATTCGTTCATCTTTGCTAATGTTAGATATTGGTAGAATTAGTTTACTAGCTGAAGAGTCCTTTCATCCTCTTTAAAAGCAAACTTGATGGTTTAGTATAGTATAATATTATTACCTAATCAGTTTGGTAAATATATGTCTACAAAATTATCCTTCTTTTAAGTTCATTATTAATTTTAATGCCAATTAGATTATCCTAGCTTAATAAAAACGCATTGGAAACTTGACTATAGAATTGTTAAAATGATATATATTTTGAAATCAACTTTTGATCTTAAGGTTTATCGTTGGAATCCTTTAAAAATTCATTTTGATTTGTTCTCTCCAGGTAGAACTGGGGATTGTTTGGAGGGGTCTGATTGATTTTTATTTTTTAAACAATACAAATGGACTCAGCACAGTACGAAGTTATGATCGACCGATCGTTTTAAATGGTCAAAAATAAGTTATGGTGGGACATAGCTTTTACAATAAACATAAGCTTTACATTATTATACAACTTTTTGGAAGAATAATTAGTGTAAGAATTAAGGAGGAATTGGCTGCAAGTATATGACTGAAATCACGGTCCCCCTAATAGTTTTACAAAAATAAATTTGGTGTTATATTATTTAAGCTCCATGGCTACCGATTGATAAGCGTCTAGTGGGTGGTATTAGGCAAGTGTCGCCATGGTCTTAAGTACTCATATATTGTTGAGAACCTTTTAAGAACCAGAAAGAGCGCCTTTTTTGCCGTACTCCCGTACCTACCACAATCAAGGACTAACACCATGCTGGCCTCGCAGAAAATATGCTTTATATTTCTTCTCCTCGGCGCCCTGCGAATCCGAGGCAGCTGATGGACTCCAGGAATATACCCAACTGCTGGAGAGCTGGGACAGCAGGTGGAACATTAACTTTCGGCTGAACCCGATAAAGTGCAGAACTGTCAGAATACTGGCTGGATATAACTTTATTAAGTGTGACCCATTTACATTAGTAATCTGATTTGTTATGGCCTACATCGATTGCGGGCCGATTCACAACCATACTTATAAATAAACAAATTATAATATATACTTGTATATATAATATATATTTTGAAATAACACGGTTTGAAAATGAAAAATTGCATATATATTTCTATAGATATACTATAAAGAACCAATCACCGGTTGTTTCTGGAACCAATCTACAAGTATTGTGTAAAAACAGAGTTATGGTGTATATTGAATTTATTATTCCTCACTTTATTTTGTAATACATAATTTGTTACTCATCAGGTCGGGCGTTGCTTTTGTGAAGTTTCACTCTAATTTTTATATCCTTAAAACCAAAAATTACAAGTACAAGAACACAATCTTCTATTGGAAATCACGATTAAATGTTGGGAATTAATATCTCAAGTTGTCAACGAAATCAAATTTCAATGCTAATTTCAAGAAAATGAATTATAATTCGGAAAAGAATACATTTTCTTAGAAAACACTTCTTATTTTAGTAAGTCGGTTTACAAACAAATCAGCTGATGCATTATTTTCAAATGGCATATACGAAACAAATCAAATCTTTCCTAACAGTAGATTTGTGGTTCTTTGTGTAATAATTAGCACAGAGTCCTTTTCCAATTTCCCCCAATCCAAATTTGTTTGATGAGAGTTAAAAGAGTCGTTGGATGATCTTCATTGTATACTTTACGTTTATTTTTATGTATAATTTCATATAATTATAAACTGTTTCATTTTCTCAGAAAAAATAACTAAAAAATGTTTTAAAAACATAGCAAATACGCGTGTGTCGTGCGTTCAATAATAAACAACTTACAATATATATAAGGGTAGCACTTAAATACGCTTAGAAACTTTCGTCTTGTGTTTCCTTCTGGTTTCCTCCTGCAAGCCAATAAACTACAAAACGTACTAATGACATAATTAATGTTACAAATTTCCTTTGTTTCCTCTCTTTAGCTATTTTGTTGTTGACAAAACTAACATGTTGTTTAGCATATACTAAAAACTATATATGTATTTATGTATATCGTATATAAATATTTATACTTAATTGTGTATTCTCTAGAATTTCGTAAGTTTTCGTTTTTTAAATGATCTACAGAATTCCCTTGCAGCGATTTCAAAATGTTAATCAAAAATAGTTGATTTTTGCAAACTTCAATTTTTCTGGGGTTTCCTTTCTTCTCTTCTTATTTACTTAAATGAATTAGATTAGATTTGAATATAAAATAGAGAACAATATATATTTTGCGTTCTAGTAAAGCTACAGATTGTTGTTGGTGTGATTACATAATTGTTTTTTGTTGTTGTGTGCTGGTGGGAGTGTGTGTGTGTGTGTGCGAGTGAGTGTTGAATTTACTTTCGATATTATTTAAACACTAGATCCTAAATAAATTACAATTGAAATGAGCTTCGCTTAACGACGTCGACGACGGCGCTGACGACGACAGAAACTGTCAACAACAAAACGCAAAACCATTTTGATAAAGCACTAGCAAAAAGTTGGCTAATCTATACTATATAATATACGCGTATGTATGTACTCGTATATAGTGTACCATATATTGTATGTATGTATATGTGTACTTTTTCCATTAAACAACTATATAAAAAATATAAGTTCATTATCATATAAAAAAATCATAAGCGTCTCGTTTACGTGTATTTTCAATTTGCATTTTTGACACAATTTCTACGGCCACCAGCCGACTAGCGTGGCTCGGTCCGCAGCCTCCACGCCTAGGCATCCGACAGATCACAGTAACCGCCCGCGGCTGTCTTTTGCTGCTCATCATCCATTAGCGCATCCACAAATTCGCCCGCCGCCTCATGATGATTAACCTGTGGCGAGGAGGAGCTCTCGCCACAGTTGGTGGCATACACATGCCGTCGACTGCCGCCGGGCAGTTGGTTCGAATCATCCGTATCCGCATCCCGTATAGAGTTGAACGCATTGCATGCATTCGCATTCGGCGAGCAAGTGTCGTCGTTGGGCGGATAGACGTGCCTGGGATAGCTGCCGCCACCGCTCCCGCCACCACCAATGCTGCCATCGCCATCCAGCTCCGCATCCCGCACGCTGCCAAACACAGGCGTGTGCGAGGAGCTCTTGCGGAGGGAGGCGGGCGGGGACCACACAGTCTGGTATAGGGGCGAGGCGAACACATACATATGGTTTAGATACTCCATGTCGTACGACGGCTGATACGAGTCCGTCTCCAGCGGATTGTAGGTGGGCTGGTACATGGGCGTCTGTCGGCAGCTAGCCGACCCGGAGGCGCTGCCCGCATAGTGCGGCGTATCGTAGTTCTGGGAGCGCGTAGAGCTCATATGATGCGGCACGGCACCGTGACTCCCACTGGCGCTGCTGCCGCCGCCGGCTCGCTGTGGCATGGTTGCGTAAATACCTCGATAGGCCTCGTACGGCGTTTGCGGATAGTAGGCATCGCTCCAACGCACATGATTCGGAGTGTAGTCGCCCTTGGCATAAAGCTGTGAATGAACAGAACCTGTTAAGTGGGATTTCTTTGCGGAATACGCTCTAGGCATCACTCTCACCTGAATGGGTCGGCAGAAGCCTTTGCTCATGTGCCTCGGCACGCCCAGCGTGTAGCTGTGACTGAACCCTACCTCGGGGCTGAGCAAATATTCGTGAAACTTGTTCGGAAAGAACTCTATATTTTTGTAGTTGTTGTAGATTTCCGGCTGAAGAAAAAGACAAAGGAAAACAAAGACAATAAGTTATAAGTTATAATAATAATCATCGCACTAGTCAGCATCAGTTGAACTGTTTAATATCAAGTTACAAAACGTTATCCTCTAAGATATAATACGCCATTTAAAACACTTGATATTTGATTAATACGATTAGATCATATTACATGTTTAAAAAAAGAACAAAAGGGAAAGAAATTTTATTGAACGCCTTTGTGCCTTTAGCTTGAATTGACTTTTTTTTTATATTTTTTACATTTTTCTGTTTTTTTTTCTTTTTTTTTTTTGGAAAACGACGACATTAAGTGGCGATGATTTTATGAATGAAATTGGCGTTTTAAAAACAATTTCAGTTTAAAGTATTGTAAGATTTAACAATTAAATCTTATCTAAGCGGTTTTCAACAATCAACTCTTAGCAGAACTAAAAAATGAATTAGTGATGAGAGATATTGTAGTTTCAAATTGCATACCGTTAGATTCTTCTTCTTCTTGTAGCTAGCCCAGTTCTGGGCCTCCAGTATGAGCTTGCCACCTGGCCGCAGCTGATTGAAGATGCGCTTGAAGGCCAGCTTGAGACCCGCATCGCCAAAGTTCAGGTGCATCCATTTGGTCACAGACAGGCACAATATGAGATCGTACTGCTGAGTATCGTTGGCCAGCATGGACTCATCCTTGAGCACATAGTTTTTCTGGCGAAAGTAGACATTCTGCGGGAACTGATTTTTGGTGCCATTGCTTCCAGCGCTTGCCCCGCCGCTAGGAGATTTACCGGGTCCCGAAATATTTGGAATACCGCCGTATGTGAGTGGGAAGGATATGGGGAAAAATTCGTGGGGTTTCACAAGCAACGCCTCCAGTTGTTCCTCTTGCTGTTGCTGCTGCAAATTGTGATGGTGATGATGATGATGATGGTGTGGGTGATGATGATGGTGGTAATGATGGTGCTGGTGCTGATGCAGGTGCAGCTGTTGCTGCTGTTTCTTCTTCTGCGCTCGCCTGCGTCTGTGGCACCTTCGCGTCTTCTTCGGCTGATTGCCGCTCCCACTTTCTGGCGGCTCTTGCACCGCTTCCTGCTTCACTTCCGGCTCCTCCTCCTTGGGTATGCGCACGAAGATGGAGAGATTGCGACGGGCTCGCTCCACCAGCATCTTGTCGATGTCTATGCCTAGTATGGACTTGGGAGCCAAGTTGCGCGCCACTGTGATGGTCATGTGGCCCACATTGCAGCCAATGTCCAGTATGTCCTTGTTCTGAAACAGCTCCAGGTGGCGCTGGAACACCTGCAGGCGTACATCCCGGAACTCGGTTAGCTGCCGGAAGTCTGCGTAGCGATCAAAGTTCCCGTATCGATATTTGAAGCCATCGGCCCGAAATTTGGGCATTTTGCTGAGTGCAATGGGCGGTCGGACCAGGGGAGCTTTGAGCATGCTTGTGCTTGTGATTGCTGCTGTTGTTGTTATTGTTGGGGTCGACGGTTGTGGCTCCCCATTGCTTGTGTCCGCCAGCGAATCCGGCTCACCGGCCGTGTGTGAGGTGGTGCCCGAAATGGTGCTCAGCGGACTGCCGAGTCCAATTTCCGACAGTTCGGGAGTATCATCGCGAGGTATTTCCACTGCAAAGGAGGAATACAATGTGGTTAGGTGGTCGCTGGTTTCTTTTAACGGGACTTGGGACTTACCCTCTATGAGCGGCTTATGCAGCTCCTCAACGGGACTAAGTAGCTCCGTCTCGCTAAAAGACGTAGAACGGCGAGTGTTTGGCTTACGGGCGCCCGTTGGCTGCAAAAGACGCGGCGGTCGTTTCCAAGCACCCGGCTGTGGTACCACAGGGCTGACAATCTTGTCCATAGCATCATGGCAGCGATGAAACTTCTGCATAACATAGGCGAATAGAGTCAGTGAGAAAACGGTAATTGAAAGCTAACTTAGACATAAGATACACGCATGGACGCGAAATATGCTGCCTTCAAATTGCTTAACCTTCTGCCCCTGACACTGAGAACTAAATGCAAATGACTCCTGAACATTATTCAGGCACTTATGGCTGCTAAACTGGCGACCTCAGACCCTCAGACCCAACTTAACACAAAAACTTTCGATTACTAACACCGAAACTTAAATGCCCTTTCAACAATCATACGAGTATTTCATTCGTTATACAGTGATGGGAAAAATAATAGAAACGACAACATTTTCTTCGTTTTTTCAAATGTTCTTCCATAAATATTTTTTCTTTCAGAATGTAATTATTTTTACCTAATCTTTATCAAACATGTCAAATGACATGATTAAATTTAAAAAAAAAAACATAAGCTCTTTGAAAATTTAGATCGCGAAGAAGCGTACTTTTTATACTCTGTACATGAAATGTACAGAAGTATATTAGGTTTGCGGGAGCTGAAAAATGTAACAGGCAGAAGGAGGCGTGGCGAGTCGATCTAGCCCTGTCTGTCTGTCTGTCCGTCCGTATGAACACCTGGATCTCAGAGACTATAAGAGATAGAGACACCAAATTTTGCACGAAGATGCCTTCTGTGTGTACGCTATACGAGTTTGTTTTATTTTTTGGATTTTCCCTCCACTTCCACCCTATGTGGGGTTTTCCCGATTTTCCATTTGTATAATCGCCTATATCTCGGAGACTATAAGACCTAGGAACACCAAGATGCCTTGTGTGAATACGCAGAAAATGTGTATTTTGGAATTTCACTCCCTCTCCCCTCTCCCATGCAAATCGTAACTCCCGTAATTCTTGGAATTTCGAACTAAAATTGCAAATACCCCCAGTTAGTTATTATGTGTCCGTGTGCCACAGTTTCACTATGATAGACTGATTTAACAAGAAGTTATAGCCATAAATATATTTGCTGCTACAGCGCTGCCCGCGGCTGTTGTTGATGTTTGGTTGACTGCTAACATGTTTACTCAGCCACGAATAGATGCGCATAGGCATACATACATTCACACAGACGCAATTGCTATGTAAATGTGCAATTATAAACCCTTTACGTGAGTTCGAATACCGAGAAAGGTAAAATCGATAAATTTTTGTTTTTTTTAGTTTTTCAATTTTTTTATTTTCTATAATTATAATTATTGTATGTACAGAGTATTTCAAAGTCGGGACACCAGACTAGCTTTTTTACTTGTTTAGTTTTGGGTTAGGAAAAAAAAATACAAACGACATATGTAGTTTAAACTAAACAAGTAGAGAAGCTGAAGTCGGGTGCCCCGACTTTATAATACTCTGTACATACATACATATGTATGTATAGAATAATTATGCGTGTATGTGTGTGTTTGTGTGTCTCGTGTTACTGTGCAAAGCAGTAACAACAACAACTGCTGCGGGCACTGCTTGATCATATATACATACATGGCTATAACTTCCTGTTAAATCGGCCAATAATTATGAAACTTGGCATACGGACTCATAATCATACGTATGTACATACGCACGAAACGGTTTTCTTTTCAATTTGTTCTTTTGTTATTTTGATTGCCCCGTGGTCGCTGTTTTAGTAAAATCTGTTTAGCAGGGTTGCCAGTTTAATGGTCAATAAACAGTTATTTGCAATTAAAGCAAGTTAGAAATTGCTACACAAGTTGGGCCAAATCTAAGAGTTAATGTTATTAATACCTAATTATACTATATTTTTATTTTTTATTGTTTTCTTTGATTTGGAAAAGGCAATTCGACGCACTTTTAAAAGTGGCTGAAAAATGGATAAATGGACAACACTGGTTGCAGTGGCACACGAAAAATTACCGATTAATGGATAGAGAGAGGAGTAGGCCAGTTGTATTGAACTTTTTCATGCAAGCGCGCAATTAGTTTCGGCCGATTTTGAATATTAATTAATTTGTATCCAATTTGGCAGTAAATTGCTTAGATTTGTGAACATTTTGTAATAGTTTAAGATCGTGATTAATTGAGCTAATTAATTTATTAATTTTTTTTTGTTTATTTATTCCTAGTACGATTTCTTATAAATAAATGTACTGTGTCCTCGATATTTGTTTGAAAAAGGCACAATATTATTTGACGCGAACAGTTGTACTCGTACACCATTATAATTTTATGGCATCGTAATTTCACGGGAGTGATTTTTATTTGTGATTTTAGGTGGAGCATCAATACACCCTTGCTCCAGTACCCAACTCTTCCCTTTCATTCAAGTCGTAGTAAGTACGCTCCAATTTGAAATTCGGTGTAAGTTGTGTTTACACATTAATTATTAGTGCATCTACTTTGTTTATGTGTGTGTATGAATAGCAATTTTGTAAGGCTCCAGCGCATGCACGTGTCAGCTCAACATTTTATTTTTCTCCTAAGGCTTGCGCATGCTTGTCTGCGTACAAACATCATTGTTTGTTTTATGTCTAATTAGACATTTTGTCAGCACCGAAAGCAACAACCGCATCCAGTTTGATCGTCCAATAGATTTTATATTGGAAAAGTAAAGTTGGCCCCTTTTCTAATTAGTCTTTTTAAAGACTTAGCAATTTGAATTATAACTGCTTAAAATGTAATTAGTTGTTAAGTTTTAATATAATTACTTCATTGAATATATTTTTTTTTAAATTAATTAATTTTTTTAAATGTAATTTTCTTTGTCCTTTTTATGGAGAGTACCGGGTATTTTATTGTGGACTGTAGCGTTCTACCTTGTTTAATTCCAAGAAATTAACCATATCTACAATTTGGCACCATGATTTTAAAAGGGTTCTGCGCCCTCACGACCCTTAGATTCTGCCAGTTTGGAACAAGAATTGCACAGAAATTGTTATTTTGAGCTTACCATTTACTTATAATGTTAAAATATTGACTAAATAAGTTTAATGGGCGCTTAACAATGCACTATTATTTCAAAAAGTTTATGAGTTTCTATTTTTTTTTCCAGCCCTAAAACATGGTCACCTAACAAATCAGACCACACAACAAATATTTCTGCCGAAAAACATGTTAAAGTCACAAAGAAGTACCTTTAACCAATTATGGTGCATAGTTGAAGAAACGCATATAATTTGTCCAGAAATTGAGGACTGAAGTTTTTAGTGAAAAATGGAATGTCTATTAATTTTTCCATCACTCTATTCTGCTGTAAAACATAGTCGGTAACTAAATTGAATATGCGCGAAAACAAATTAGGTTAGCCTCCCCATAAAAAAGAAATTATTTCAAATTTAATTCCATATTTACCCGAGGACACAAGGATTAGGTGAACTGTTGAACCCTGATTAATATTGATCTCCCCTGTGACATATAGAACAACTAGCAGGTATTGCCCGTCTTAACCCGGCTCAATATAATGTTTCCAATTGTATTTATTTTGTGTGTGCATAACCTACCCATATGTTTTCACCTTATAAGTTACCAGTAGGAAGGCATTTAAGGTATTTAAATGAACATTTTCTGTTCTTGACAAAAAATTGTTCAGTAGTCCGTTACATTTTTGTTCTTGCCAAACTATTTTGTTAAACGAACATGACCACTATAACTAATATTTTTTAAAGCTCGTTTTCCCCCCGTTGGATCTAGAATTTTCCAAAAGCCTTTCTTAGTGTGCTCCTACACTATGATGGATACTATGAAAAGATACTTGAGTCCAAATTTCATCTTTTACCGTTTGGGCTGTGCGTTGATCACCAATTAGTCAGGACAAACTGTTTTATATATAGAGATAACGCAACGTTTTAAGATAGACGATTTGCAAAAAAGGGGGAATAATTATAAGGGTATATCCTAATTTTAAATTCACATTTGAGCCTTTTCGTGTCATATTGAGTCAATACGGTCACGCACAAACTCGGAATATGAAACACGGCACTCGTGTCAATGCCGTGCAGCGATGAGCCACGATCAAAAAGCACTGACAATTCTCATCTCAATTTGCTAGAGTAAAACTTTCGATAGTTGAAGCCACCGATACCATCAAAATATCGAAGTTTGAATGCAATAAGCAGAATATTTAAATAATAAAATCTAATTATTTATTGAGATCAATAAGAACAAATCATACATACATACATCTGCCCGCAATGCGAAGCAGAATATGAGTAGCTCCGTTATTCGGTTTCTGCCTTACTATCGCTTACGCAGTCGTTGCTTAGCGACGGTAACTGTAAACTTTTGGCGTTTTGCCTTTGCAATTAACATTAAATGGTCACAACGAAAGAAGATGTGCGAGCCAACAACTTAAAGTTGTTGTTTTGTATGTACATGCTACATACATATACAGGCATACATACATATGCATGTACATATGTATGTATGCATGGGCACACATAGGCACGAACTGTTGCTTGTTGTATGTATGTGTGAGTGTGTGTATGCGATGTCCCCAACTATTTGATATTTGATATATGGCAAGTAAAAAACATATTGCTATATTTTAATCGTTGAATGCCAATTTGTTGATATAATGTTGATTACATTACCCAAATTTGAAATCGATCGGACAAAATTTATAACACAAACTATTCATTTGAAAAAGTGAATAAATATTAAAACCCCAATAATAAAATTAAATGCGATATATAGAAAATATCGATACTTGTGTTGATATATCGTAATACATGTCGAATACAAATACATCGAAAAACATCGTTTGAGAGTTATTGATTATAATACTGTATTCGATTGTTCACTGTACACATATGTACATACATACATACAAATGTATTTGTGTGTGTACGGTAACTGTAAACTTTTGGCATTTTTCGTATGCAATTAACAGCCGTAAATTATCAAAACGAAAGAAGTTTTGCGAGCCAATAACTTGTTGTTGTTGTTTTAAAAATTTTGATTTGAAAACATAGAACACTATTTATTACAATTAAACAACAGTGTTCGATGGCCCACTGCATACATACAAACCTATATATGTATATAAGAATGTATGTACGTACATACATACTTATTGATGTACATATGTACATACTATACATACAGACGTATGTATATATGTATGTACGTATGTAATACATATGGTGCTGGTGTAATTCATAATGCGAAATTCTTTCTAAGGGGAGCAATGTCCCCCCTGCCCAACCTGCGTACGCCCTTGTAGTCCGTTGTCCTAAAATCCCTTATGCCAAATGTACTAAACAAAGAAAAAATAACATAAAAATGTTTATGTTATAATGTTAATAATTTTTAATTAATTAACATTTCTTGCCCTGTCAGTGCAAGACGAATGTACTTTTATACATATGTATGTATGTATATATGTACATACATTTGTACAAATGAACATTCACACATTAGTGTCTCACATTTTGCTTTGGCTACTTCAACCGTTTGCACGCAACTACACGAACAGCTGCTTGTATATATGTATGTGTGTGTGTATGTATACTTAGTTGTCCCCAACTGTTTGATATTTTGTATTGTTTGTTCTGCCTGCATTTGTAAAATGCATATTTTAAAAATCGTTAAATGCAAAGTTGTAATTTTAGTTACGTAGATTATATTACCCAAATTTGAAATCGATCGGACAAAATTTATAACACAAACTTTTCATTTGAAAAAATGAATAAATATTAAAACCCCAATAATTCAAGCTCCAACACAAATTTCGAAAAACCGAGTATGCAGTTTTGTTTGTATTCTTTTATAGATTATAAAAACCAAATTTAAAGTTGATCGATTCAGAAATGCAGAATTTTCAAACAAACTTTGGAGCTACTTTTCCCCCCTTTGGAGCTCGAATTTTCCAAAATCCCTTCTTAGTGCGCATCTACACCATGATAGGATACTTGAGCCCAGTTTTCAGTTTCCTAGCTTTTACCGTTTGGGCTGTGGGGTGTTGATTGTGTTTCAATTTTTCCACGGAAAACCCCCCCTTTTTCATGCCCCAGGAAAAATGGTGAAAAACCAAGTATACAGTTTTTCTTGTATTCTTTTTGAGAGTATACAAACTAAGTTTGAAGTTAATTGGATGAAAATTGTAGATTTTTCATACAAACGTTGGAGCCTGTTTTCCCCCCTTTGGCGTTCGAATTTTCCAAAACCGCTTCTTAGTGCTCACCTACACCACTGAAGACAACATGTGTCCAATTTTCAGCCTCCTAGCTCTAACCGTTTGGGCTGTGCGTTGATTGCACATAGCTTTTCGTTTACCGAATTTTCCACCGGAAAATCATTATTATTCAGGCCGCAGGAAAAATATTGAAAATCCAAGTATACAGTTTTTTTTGTATTCTTTGTGAGAGTATACAAACTAAGTTTGAAGTTAATTCGGATGAAAATTGTAGATTTTTCATACAAACGTTGGAGCCCGTTTTCCCCCCTTTGGCGTTCGAATTTTCCGAAACCCCTTCTTAGTGCTCACTTTCACTATAAGAGGGATCTTGTGTCCAAATTTCAGCTTCCTAGCTTTTACCGTTTGGGCTGTGCGTTGATTGCCAATCAGTCAGTCAGTCAGTCAGTCAGTCAGGACAAACTGTTTTATATATATAGAGATGACTTCTGCTATAATGTGCATATAAACATTTTATGTACTCTACACCCAAGTAACTAAAGCTTCTTCGCTGTTACATATTTGTTAAATTACCCGATTGTCGTTTTTAATATCACTTTTAAACAAGTTGAGAACAATATGAGATTTGTGGTTACAAATGCCTTCCGCTTTAAGCATTACAAACATTGTCACAAATACAAGAATTCCATTTTCTGGAAGGTCATATGAAATTGCAGAAGCAAAAACATTGAAAACAAAAACAACCAAGCAATCAAAACAAGCCAAACAACTGCCCCCTAAAAGTGGCCCCATTAGCCTCATTCTCAACATGTTCCATTTCCACTTTATTTCAGAGATTTCGAATTTCCTCTCACTTACCTTGCTCTTTTGCGAGTTGTTGCTCTCACTTATTTTTCGTTTCCTGCCGCCACAGCCACCACTTGTATTATTATTGCCGGCGCTTGCAGCGCAGTTGGCGCCAAAGCTTAGACCCGTGCCTCCAACGCCATAGCACGTGCTGCTGTTAATGTTACTGTTGCTTCCCAAGCCACTCAAGTCCAAACGCAAATCGCGACTGGCCAACGCACGGCGCTCTGCCAGCGTCGACGCCACAGCCAGCGCAGCGGCCGACGTAGACGCTGGCGTTGATGTTAGCAGTAAATCCACTCCACTATTACTGCTGTTATTGTTGCTTCCTATTTTATGCGACTGCTGTTCTGTAATTAGCAACGACGACGATGTGTTCTCAGCAGAGCCCACATGTTGCTGTTGTTGCGGCGACTTGGAACTCCTGCTAGCGCTGCTGTTGTTACATTCGACTTTTTCAACAACCGAAGCATTAACAGCTGGTGTGGCTGTTTTCTCTGGTTCTACTGTATCTGTTACTGTTGAATTTGATGTTGTTTCTGTTGTTATTAGTTTTTGAGGAGAATTATCAGCGTGCGCATGCGACTGCTGCTGTGCCAATTCCATTGTTTTGCCCAGCGTCGTCTCGCTCAGCAGCAACTGTGTGTTATTGGCGGTGCTCCCTGAAGTCGTAGCAGCTGCTGCTACAGGGGTTACCAACTGTTCCACTGCCGCCGTCGTTGCCGTCGCCGCCTGCCCATCAAGTGAAATTGAAAGCGTCGCAGACTCATCCCCACCGCTGCCATCAATTGACGCCAAATCGTCGCCCAGGGTGCTGCCCAAATGTGTGGTATTCGAGTCGTGCCGCCGTCGCTTGCGATTTTTGCGCGGCCGATGCTGGCGATGATGTTGCAACTTTAAGTGGCAACCTCGCGTCAGCATTCCGGCGCGTTTCATTGGCGATGTTAATTGCTTTTCGTACTCCATCGAGTCGACAGGATCAAGCAAATGCAGCGGATCGTGTATATTCGGAGGTATGATGACCTCCACCTTGGGTGGCGTTGTAATGGGCGATTCGCGCGGTGTTGTCACTGGTGTGTTGTTGCTCGACGAGGCATTCGATGTGTTCTCGTTCTGCAGAGAATTCAAATTAAGGGGATCGGATATGTTTCCACCCAACAGAAATTTTGTGGGCGGCACGATGACCTCCTTGCGCAAGCGCTTCTCAGGCAAAAAGAACTTTGACCGTCCGCAACAGTAGTGCACCGCATTGGCTGCCGCAGCAGCGTTGCTCGAGTTGATGCTCTGGCCACTGAGCGAGCTCGTGTCCTTATTGCTCTGTGTGTCCTTGCTGGGCGGACCGCTTCCATTGCATCCGGTGACCAGGCAGCATGTGTGATTCGCATTGTTGCCGGCGCAAAGCACATGATGATGATGACCCCTATTGTGGGAGAATTATTGAAATTGTAATAAATATATTATCTAACATCTACTACGAGCTACTCAAATGTTATACTGATTAGGTGCCAAAACTAGCTGATAGTCCTCAAATACCGAACCCTTTCGGCCTTTCTGTATTATTGGGTTCATGAGTATTTTGCCTTCGATTCCGATCTTTCTTCCCATCATTGAGACCACATTAGTTTTTAAGGTAAGTCCAAGCTAAGTACAACACATTTTTCAGCTAGCTTTTCGTTATTGGATATGTTTTGCAATGTTCTTTCATGATAAAGTTATTTGTTTGATTTGAAATATGTATATGAAAGCTATAGTTTCCTCCACAAGCTGGATATCGGTGAGGTAGACTCCTCTGCCCTCTTAGGTCGCCTCAACTTTTCAGTTCCTTGTAGACCAAGAAGGAATTATTTGCCATTCATCTTGTCTAAATACACAACTGATTACGCTGTGCACAATCGTTTTCGGCTCATTTTTTCTAATTATTAATGATCTTTCACATTTACCTTAGACAAAACTCTCCCTCTCTATTCTATAAAATGTAACCTTTACACTTACTGCTGTAAGTCGTCGGACTGGCATTCAATATTCCCCTCTTTCTCTTTATGCTTAATTAGCTGTTAAGTAGAATTCCTTTTCCTCCTCTACTTACTATTTGTTTGCAGTTTGTTAGGTCTATTATGTTTCTGATCAGATATAGCTGTGATTCTGGGCATATCTGGCCAAATGGCAAATAAAAAGTGAAATATACTGACCTATGTGCTACCATTTTCTTGTAGAGCTGCTGCTGCTTCAGTCCATGGGCATGCCCCAGCTTATCCAGAGCGGGTACTCCATTGCCCGGGGCACTGACGGCGCCGGTAGCTGCGCTTTGTACCGCAGCACGTGCACCACTGCCATGATGCCCATGATGTCCGCCATGGTGGCCAGCGTGGGCGTGGCCGGCAATTTGATTCTTTATGTTCTGTATGTTCTCCAGATCAGCCTTGTGAGCGGCCACCACCAGTGCTGTCGGGGGTAGCGCTGGGCCGGCATTGGATGCATTGCAGCTGCCGCCTGTGCCAGTTGTTGAGGCTTGAGGATTAGCGGCAATTTGCTTGCCCGGCTTGTGCTGTCTCTTACCCCAAGCCTTGTTGTTCTTGTTGTTCTTTGGACTTGGCCCGGACTGCTGTTGTTTGTGCTTGAAGTATTGCTGGGGTGTACGGAATTGATGATGCTGTGGCTGCACTTTCAACTTGTTGGGCGGTGGAGTGGGACTCTTTGGTTTTCCCGTCGCACCTGAACTTGTTGTTGTTGTTGTTGATGTCACTTGTTGTTGTTCTTGCTGTTGCTGTTGTTGCTGCTGCTGCTGCTGTTGACCCCTTGGGCTATTCTCCAATTGAAGCGTGGGCGTCATTGTTGTAGCTACTGTGGTTGCTGATGCTTCTGCTATTCTTGTTGTTGTTGTTGTTGTTGAATCCGCGTTGGCTATGCGACAATCACCAGGACTGGCACTGAGCTGTTGATCCATAGCTCGTGAGGATTATTTATGTATTTCTTTAACTTTTCATTGGCCGACTTTGGGCGCGTGCTAAAGCTCTGTTGCTTGTTTATCACTTTGACGTTGATTTTATTTGATTACTTTAAATGTATTGAATTATATTAAATTATATATCACTGCGATTTCGTTCATTTACATTTTGCATATGTTGTTTCACTTTAATTGAATAAACGATTTAATTGCATTCACTTTGCCTCTTATTTTTATTCATTTTTGGCGATTTCAGATTTGCGTTGCACATACATACACGAACATATGTAAATATTAATTATATTATTGGTTTTGTTTACTCTCATCGAGTTCTCTTCGCTGCGCCCAACACTTTCCACTTATTTCTATATTTATTGTTGAAATTTTGATGTTGAGATGTTGGTTTTAAATTTTACTTTCGTGCACATACAATATGGGTTTTCATATTTGATTTAATTAAGTTTAAACATTTACAATGGCCCAGAGCTAAGTTGGCTTCAGTTCTGGCTGTTTGCATAGTCTACTTTGAGGCTTTTACACTCACAATTTTCTTAATTCTCCACTTTGAAATACACTCTGTATTCAATTTGTCTTCTGCTGGATGGATACACTCCCCGGTTTGTTTGGATTTATACGAAATATGTTTGATTAGCTTTGTGTGGGTGCGTGTGTTGAAAATGGTTTCACTATTTGCTTTTCATTTATTTATTTATTTATTTAATATTTTAATTGCACATTTCAAGTTGCCTACTATTACCAACTATGTCCCTTTGTCCAGCTTTAAGCTTGAGCTTACTGCTAGCGATGCTGAGCTTGATATTTTTTCCATTTTATTTTCAGCTTTCGAGTTGAACTTCCGGCGGCTTTGTTTTAGCCAACTCATGCTCATGCAATAATACAATGTTGTTTGGCTTGGCTGGCTGCGAAATGTTGTTGCATGCTTTAAGGCGCACAAGCGTACTGTTTGCATTTCATCAATTATATGCCATGCTCGGATTTCATTCAGCATTTGGCATTCGCGCGCGTTCTGTATGTTTTGTTTACTCTTCTGCCGACTGTGTTGACTTCCGTTGCCGTTTTATATTTCCGCTTAAGCAGCTACTTCCGCTTCGGCAACAAATCCTAATGGCGAGCTCCACACACAGTTCAGCTGCAACGAAAAAAATAAATTTCAAATTTAATTAGTAGACCAGACTATAGGCCAGTTCTTTAACCAGCTCAATGAGCCCGAGCTAACAGGCTGCTGCTTCAATAAACCACAAAACTTGAAATGAGTGGCAAGCTTAGTGCACAGTGCGGGTGCGAGTGCTGGGTACTGTTGGCCACTGGTAGAAGCAAGCTTCGTCCTCAGACACACTTCAACAATATGTATTTTGAATTCATTATTTGCATAGCCAGGCAAAAATTCACAACCCAACGAGCGAGCGAGCGACACAAACAACCTTTGAAAAATTGAGAACAGGCGACCTCTGCGTTCCACCACCCACCGACTACCGCCTGCCACATCCTTCTGTTCTGCCCCCTCCTTGTCTCACTTTGTCTGCTCAGAGAGTGTGCCGAGTGCATTAATATTTACACGGAAATTGTGGCAGAAGCAATGCAGCTGAGCTCAAGTCTTACCTCGATTCCTGGTAGTGCCAGGCAATGGTGGCTTGCGGGCTGCGGCGTTTGGTAAGCGACCGCAAAAAGCAACTAACAACAACAACAGCAGCAGCAACAACAAAACCAAAACCAACTCAACGATAAAGAGAATGAGAAGCCTGAGTGGCAGACCAGACCAGCTACCAGCTTCCAGCGCCACAAATGCAAACTATGCGAGCCACCCACGCTCCAAAGTAACCCACAGAAATTTTCACCAAAATTTGCGATTTTAAATCCGATTGCCAGGCAAAGTATCCGTCGTAAGAAAGAGACAAACAAAAAAGAGAGCTCTGTTAATTTCTAGTGTGAATCTAAAAGGTCACAAAGAGAGAGAGAGAGAAAAATCCTATAAATGTAGAAATTAAGAAACTATCTAATTAAAGAGTTTCAAGTGCATTAATTGGATAAAAGCATCTACATATATGCCAGTTAAATGCACTTGAGCCACAATTCCAGAAAACAAAGCTAACGTGCAGAGCTTGGGTGGATTTTAGGTTTAGACATAGCATTGCTTCATTCAAAGGAGGATTGTTGTTGTGCTCCGACATAGAATGAAGAATTATATATACATATATAAATCACCTTTGCAAGCCCGATGTCCGATGGATAGAAAGGGTATACATACATACTAGGTTTCTGCAAAGAACGTAATAGACAGAAAAAATCATCTTCGAACCCATAAAGGGTATATATATTTTAAATAAGTATGAGGAGCTAACTAGATATTTAAATGTCTAGATAAGAGTCAGAATTTTGGAAACAACTGCGCCTATTTTGTCCTTAGGCAACACGAGTATATAATATTTTTGTTGATTTTTGTCCCAACACAGTCAATACTGTCCACAATTCCAAAGCTCCATAAATTAGACTTTTGGGAATTTTCTACTCTTTCAACTTTAAGACACATTATTAGCGACTAAAAACAATTTTGTTTTCGCACTCCGCAGAGAACACACGGAAAATTTGTTTAGCTGCAGGGTATCTCATTGTCGCGTTTGCTCGCCTGTAACGTGCTCTCTATTGTTTCCAATGAAGCTGTACTTGTGACAGTATCAAAGTAATAACTCAGAAATAGGTAGAAATGATAACTAGTTTTTAGACTTAACAAAGGTACATACATATAGCTACAAGAATTAATCTCGTTGCGGGACTTTCGCTAAAGACTGTGTAAAGCTATCAAATAACAAACCTTAGAGGCCCTAAAACAAACGTTATTTATTTGCATATTTTTAGGCGCGCGCAAAAAGTAACAGGAAATGTGAGAGCGCAGCCCGACGCGCACAAGAAAATTTTAATTAAAATTTAAATATGCGACGCGTTGCCGAGCCAAAAGGTTATCCAGCTCTCCGCGCGGGTAAGGAGGCTGGAAAGTGGGCCAAGCCAAGTTAAGTGGCGACAGACTGCGGTCCGGTAGAAACAATTGAGGGAGTGAAGAGAGGCAGAGACAGCGAGAGAGAGAGGGAGAGAGGAAAGAGACGGAGGGAAGGAGTGGCTGCCGCTGCTATTCATTAGATGCCATGTCCTGTCAAGTTTGAGTGGCTTTGGCTTCACTTTCTGCCAAGCGGAAATTGACAATTTTTATAATTTTGTAAACATTTTAACGCAGGAGAGCCACCGTGAAGGAAAACTTTTTACTCGTACTTGCCGCCCGGGTTGCTAGCGATGCTGATGACAGAACTGAGGATGCTGATGTGGACAAATAAAATGTAATTTGCATGTAAATAAAATTAGTTCATTGTGTGAGTAGTTAAGGCATTAAAAAGGAAACAAATTAGAGTGTGTGTGTGTGTGTGTGTGAGAGAGAAAAAGAGAGAGGGAGAGATAGCGAGTTCCCTCTACAACAATCTTAAAGTAACTTTAGAAATCTACTACTACAAGGATGAAAACATATACATATATGACTAGCGTAATAATTTAAAAGTAACCTGACACTTGTAACGCTAGGAAAAGGTTAACAAATAAATAAATAAATATAGAGTTTAGTGTACATTCAATTATCGATATTTTTTACCATATGCTGGAATTATCAGTCAATTTGGATTAGTAGTTTGTTGCTGGCAACTGAAAACGTAGGTCACGTTCCTGTGTTCTTTAATTTTTGGTTTTTGGTAAAATGGATCAAGAAATATATTTTAATAAAAACAACACCGTAATCATGCCTCACCCACCGTATTCACTTTTTCCTAATCCCAAACTTGAAGAGACCGATTAAAGAAAAGGGGTTTGCCACAGTTGATGAGATAAAATCAAAATCGAAGAACGAGGCGCTTCGAGCATTGGAAGAAGCGCTTGCATAAGTGCATTATATCTGAGGGGGATTACTTTAAAGGGGACAACATAAATACAAGTATAGATGAATAAATACTTTTCAAACAAAAATTCAAAAGTGTCCTTTTCTTTTGAACAGACCATGTATATGGTATTTAGTATGCACACACATATGTAGCTGGTCTCTAGAGTGTAATGATGCGCCAACGATATCCGTAACGACGGGTGTGGGCGACGGTGATGATGTTGATGTTCATACACATGTGTCTATTTGTCGGCTCCACAACACCCCCGCCCCCCCCCTCTACACAGTTGGGGGCACAGGTGTTTTTAATGTGAATTTGAGTCCCTTGGGAATTCAGCAAATTTGTTGCTAAATAAATTGAAGCCATAATGTGTAGGATACACAGAACAACAACAAAAATCGTAACATTTGTTGCAATGTCTGTCTGTCTGTCTGTCGGTCTGTCTGCTGCCTGTTCGTTTGCTTGGCCGACTCGCACATGTAATGCGCATATGTAATTTACCTCATCATCAAGCACTGCTTAGCGTTAAACACCCAAGCCCAAATCAGGTGCCTGTGCCTTTAGATAACAATTCGGGATCTATAGTATAGTACTACAAGTATGTATACGTCCACACAGATGACAACACATTTGGACGAGTGTGTGAAATTCAAATTCAATGCGTGCCTCAGGGAGTTGTAGTTTGTTGAGACAAACGAAACTTAATTGTTCTAAATAATTTCGTTATTTCAATTTTAGTTTAGTACATTAATTAGTCTTTAGCAGCTTTTAAAACAGGCACTATCAACCAGAACAAATACTATAGAGCTCCTTACAAATCAATCTTCAAATAAGTAAAGTTTTAACCAAAAAATAAACCGACTTCTTATCTAGTGGGGTGAATGCTTTTTTTGTTATTTAAAGTGACAATGTCACAATTTCGAGGATGATTTTGAAGAAACACCATCCTATTCAGGAATAGAATTTTCAGCTATTTGGACCAAATAAGCATGTTAAAGGTATTGAAAGGGGACCATAAGGGAAGCTTCCATATACAAAGAATCATCAAAATCGGTTCACCCAGTCGAAAGTTCTGAGATTAACAGTCAAATTGAGAATGTCGTCTTTTGCAAAACCTAACCAAACTCTCATCAAACTACCCTTGAAGTACATCGTTTCCATTCGTCTATTTGTTGCGCACATACTTAATGCAAATTAAAGACTTATGTATATAGTTATACTCATGGATTTCATTGTCAGAACACTGGACTAAATTGAAATGGGACCATTCGTGAAGCACCAGCTTCCAATTGTGCTATAAAACATCTAAACAAGGTTCATCAAATGGGCTGCTTTTGGAAAAGGGGTTTTTGGACTATGCAACCGTTTACTGAAAACTTAAGAGGTTGAAAATTGATCAAAAAGCCTGGAACTGGAAGATGCAAGTAAGATCGTCACTTTAGATTGGTCTTCCTGGTTAGCAGATGAAAGATAAGAATTTTCTGAAAAGCTTACTTCGCAGGTGCCAAGCAATTATAGAGTCAGGATGGGACAGGACTCAATACTAATGCGATTGTCAATTGCTCTTGAGCACAGTTTTACAGATTATATGTAAAATTTGTTTAAAATGAAATTGCTTTCAAATTGCGTTGTACTTGCTCTTGCTAGACTTAATGCACGTATGTATGCACTTCTTAAATTTGTCTAGTTCCATAACTTTTTTCTTTAACTTCAGATGACTTGGCATCGACATGGTTTCTTCGCTACTTTCTGGCTTGTCCGTCTCATGCAATGTCTATCTTCAAATTTAACTTTTTCCGACTGACAATACTTTAAGCTCTCTACTTATCTAGCCCAAGCGCATACACTCTGTCGCACAGCGACAATACCAACAACAACAACAACAATACCATCAACTTTCCGCTAACTGTCAAAACGCCAACAGGCACTTGCCACAAGGCGTTGTCATCATCATCTCATAAGCTTCACGTCGTGTCTCGTGCACATGGCAGGTACATTAATAAGCCATAACTGTAACATGCGCCGTTGCACAATGACGCAGAGCCACAAAGAGCTCACTACCCTACGATCCCAGGCCCCAGACCCTCCCTCCAGACTGCACCCTATACGCCGTTTACCCTAAATCGCGCCTTCTTCTCTGCCACTTCTCCGTGGCAAGTTGCTTAATGCGCTACACAAACAACAAGAATTTTTCTGTCGATATGGCGACACTTTT